TTTTCTCACTAAAAGTGCATCAAACACTAACAGAAACATCCAATCATTCAGATGAAAAAGCTAACAGTGTGGTGTTGGGTTTCAAGTGTGAAAGTGTTAAAGTCCCACATCAACTAGGAATTGAGGAAATGTTGGGTTTATAAGAGAGGTGATCCATACCCTCATTACCTTAAGGTTTTGGTAGTATATATGATGTCGAGGTCTCTTAGAACCATGAACTTTTAGTCCAATGACACTTTTGGGTCTCAGTCCTCGAACTTCTCTAACAAATGATATCAGAGCCTAGTTGGCTTGATGGGGGGAGCGGAAGTGGATCCTAGTGTGGGTGACTCACACTTATGGGGGAGATTGTTGGGTTTCAAGCGTGAAAGTGTTAAAGTTCCACATCAACTAGGAATGGAGGAAATGTTAGGTTTATAAGAGAGGTGACCCATACCCCCATTGCCTTAAGGTTTTGGCGGATATGTGGCGTCAATGTCTCTTGTAAATAATAAAGTTTTGCTCATTGACACTTTCAGGACTTACTCATCGGACTTCCCTAACAAGTGGTATCAAAACCTAGTTGGCTCGGTGGAGGAGAGAAATGGATCCTAGTGTGGATCAAGGCTAGTGATGCAGGTGATTCAAACTTGTGGAGGAGATTATTAGATTTCAAGTGTGAAAGTGTTAAAGTCCCACATCGACTAGAAATAGAGGAAATATTAAGTTTATAAGAGATGTGTCATATACTCTCATTTCCTTAGAGTTTTGGAAGGATATGTGGTATCAAAGTCTCTTGGAACCATGAACATTTAGTCTATTGAAACTTTTGGGCCTCACTCCCGGATTTCCCCGTGTAGAAATATCTCTAGACATGTATCAAATGTTAATCTCCTTACTCAGCAAGTCATATGACTCAAAAAAGAGTAATTTCCAAGTTAGTCATGCCACTATCACATGTGTTAGTCATAAATTTATTAATTATGGTCAAAATCAAATTCTTTCGATACAATTGATGATGAAAGGAAGTAAACTAAAGCGTGTTTACAGTGCGGTTTGGAGGTAAAAATCAAATTTTATATTTTTTTTTAAGGATGATTAAGACTAGGAGAAACCTTTCCTCGACAAGGTGAGAATGAAGATAAAAATGTCAATTCTAAATGTTGACTTTGTGTACATCCAAATCGACGACAATCTAGCACATATTGTGAAAATTGGAGCAAAACTTTCCAGATTCGTCGAAGAGGAAATTATTAAATGCCTCAAAGCCAATATAGACATGTTTTCATGCTCTTCTAAAGAGATATCGGGCATCAACCCCAGTGTAGCATGGCATTAGTTAAACATAAACCCTTCGGACAAGTACATCACCTAGAGAAGATGTTGTCATTTGTCGAAGAAATTTGACGCTGCCAAGAGTATTGTAAGCGGGCTCTTTCAAGCAAAATTCATATCAGAGTTGAACTAGACAAAGTTTATATCAAATATGGTGTTAGTCAAGAAGACAAGTGGCAAGTGGCTCATGTGCATCTAGACAAAGTTTATATCAAATGTGGTGTTAGTCAAGAAGACAAATGGCAAGTGGTGCATGCGCATCGACTATACTGACCTAAATAGATATTTATTTAAATACTTGTATCACATATCCAACATAGACAAACTTAGAGACAACTCATTTGGATACAAGCTTTTGACCTTTGTGGACGCCTATTTTGCGTACAACCAGGCCCTATGCACGAAAATGACTGCAATAAGACAATGTTCATGACAGATCATGTCAATTATAGGTACAATGTCTTGCCCTTTGGTTTACAAAATTCAGGTTCCACCTACGAGAGGAGGATGAACAAGATCTTCGAGCAAGAAATTAGCGAAATATTAAAGGTCTACATAGACAAAATGATACTCAAATCTAGGTAGGAGTAGCTACACGAAGGCTACTTTACTATTGTGTTCAGTTGTGTTCACCAATTCAACATGAGATTGAATTCGGAGAAGTTTATGTTCTGAGTCAATGTCGAAAATTAATGGTTTCCACCTCACCGAAGGGGGGATTGAAGAAAATTGAGACAAATGTGACAACATCATCAATATGGAAACTATACAAAGAATAATGAAATTGAATGGTATGCTCATTGCCCTCGGCAGATTCATTTCCATATCTACCCAAAATGTGTAGGGTCATACAGGATCCAAACAAGTATCAACAAGAGAGCTTACACGATTGAGACCCTTCACGAGGATCACACCTTGAGGACATGGAACATTTCCAATTTTAAACGTTAATACTTCTATGTACCTTTTCTGCTTAATTTCTTTTATGTAAATTTGTACAACTCTATTAGAAATTTGAATTACCAAAATTTATACAAATTTTCAAGTGGATGAGATCGGTCGAATGGTCTCAGTTGAAAATGTGATTAGGAAGACTCTTAACCTCGAATACATAGGTGGTGTACACACAAATAATAATGGCTACTTTCTATCATCCAGCTACTAAAAATTGGAGGCGGTTAGGCCATTAAGACCTTCGGCCTCGAACCAAGTAATCACTTGGGGGTAGGGATAGGAAGAACACCCTTGGTCGAGATCTCTTCCTAGAGATATCCAAAATTAGTCAAAGACATGTCTCTGAAACAACCACGAAAAGCATGGGAAATGAGAGAGAGAGAGAGAGAGATGTTTTAACTTTAGCATAAAGAAGATTTATCTTCCTCGTAGAATTTTCAAAAGATTCTTCCATATTAGCTACATTGTCATCAACAAGATCACTTAGCTCTTTCTCCAAGAATGCATTTTTTGGCTTCGTCACAATCAAGGCTTCCTAAGCATCTTTCACAAAAATATTTTTATCAGTCAGAGCCTCATGATCTTATTTTAGTACGATATCCTTATCAATCAGAGTTTGACGAGCCTCTTCAAGGGCGGTCTTCTTAACGGTCAAAGCTCCATGGATAACTTTAAGAATGATATTTTTATCAACAATGGATTTGTATTGACTAGTCGTGATATTTTCAAGAGAGTTCATCTTCTCTTTCAACTCTAAAGGAGAACAATTTGAGGACACACCCATAAGCCATCTAGACACATACGTGTGTGCGCCACCGCAGTTCGTCCGTCCGATCAACTCGGCTCGGTCTGATCCGGTCTAGATGAATTAATTTTTTGAAACCCGAATTAATGGAAATTAATTATCATTAATTAATTTATTCAGTGGAAATTAAATACTATTATTTAATTATAAAAAAAAGTAGGAAATTAATTGATATTAATATTAATTAATTACGAAATGGTGACGTGTCTCGCATAGAAACCAAGTCTTAACTTATTTTTTGACTGATTTTGCTTGTCTTCTAAGAGTCTTACGTGTACGTGTGATTTGCTGACTAAGTGAAAAACGACTACATTTGACTGGGCCAATTCCACTATCTCACACAATTTTCTCCCACAATACTTGCTCCATTCAGTTGGATCATTTGCCTATAAATAGAGTTCTTCAGTTCATTTGCAATTCACTCTAAAATTCACAATTCGAATTCTCTCTTCTTTCTTTCTACCCTGCTTCATCTATAAAATTTTCTTTTTTGTTCTCGGATGGCTTACTGCGCCATCAACGACTGAAAAATTCTAGATACTACGACTGATTTTATACCATCTTAAAGTGTAATTCTTGGAACGATTTATTACGGTACAAGTAATAATCGTAATTTTGAACGGACTGTTTTATCTTGGAGACGTCGTCGAAACTCGACTGCTTTGCATAATTATTGACAGTATGACGAAATCACACACCCCATTAGGGTCAACGCCCATCTCACACTCGAAATCACACGAACTCTGAAAGTGTTTTCTTTAACCTCAATTTCTCAACAATCGATTTTCTTTTTTGTTCTCGGATGGCTTACTGCGCCATCAACGACTGAAAAATGTTTTTTGACCACCAATTGAGGAACGTATACTTACATTTGATTGGTCAACAAAGCTCTCAACTTCCTTTTTACTGCTCATTTAGGCCTTGAAGGAAACATTAGATGCGATGGTTTCTGATTTATCGCCATTTAGAGGCGTGACAAAGAAGAATTTGACTTTGAGATTTTTAAGTAAATTCATGTATACTTCAAATTCAAATAATATATGACACTCCTTCACTAAATTCGGCCCATGAGAGTGGACAGGGTTGACTTTCCGACAACACGGAACAAGTGGAAAAACAAAATCAATGTAGGCGGACTCTTGTATTTACATTAATATTAAAAAAGCTTTTACTCACTAAATGCAATTGAGAAGGGACGATTTAGAAAAACAGACACGTATATAGTAGTGTATTATTGAAATTTATGTGTGTGAAAAAGATAAGTGAAAGATAGAAACATTGATATACAGTTGATACGCGATATCAGATACGATGTCATATATTTGATGTTCAAATAACACTTCCGAAGATAGTCACCTGCCAATCCAGGATTTCCTTGCCCGCACAGTAATATAATCTTGAGCAGTAGTTTTGATGGTTGTGATGACTGCGGTGGGTTATGACTTATACTAGTGAAATACTTGAGCTTCCAAACTAGTTTTTTTGTTACAAACCAGTTTTCAGTTTAGCCCATATAACTTTTTGCCTCAAATTAAATCCTTGAAACAAACTTGCTTTTGATCATAGTTTATTTGATTTTAACCTCAACAGAATTAGTTTATGGCCCTGTGCTTGACAATGCCATTTTATAGTTTGTACCTCTTGCAAAATCAGAGTTGCTGCCTGTCATTGTGACAAACTCACCCCGATATCAAACATACACGATGTAGCTCATCAATTAAACCTTATTTAACAGGTTTATATATACCCCACGACGATATTGATTTATAAAGAAAAACTAAAATAGAAAAAATGAGAAGCATTATCTACCGAAAACAGATTAATTTTCTCAATAACAAAATCTATTCATGTTCCCTGCTGCTGAATAAGTTACTATTACAGGTAAATGAGATATTCTATGACTCAAGATAATTTTATTGAAAGTGCTTTATTCATCCTTTTTGCTAGGTTTGGCATCACTCTCTTCTTCAGATGATTTGGATTTGGACTCATCAAACTCCAATAACTGAATTGTAACAGAAAAAAAGTTACTGCATTTGTAGCTAACCAACATCAAACAATCTTATCATAAATATTGAAAAATAAATATAAAATGGACTATCTCTAAACCGATTATGAGTTTCGAAAACTTCATTCTATGTTTCCAAGTATTAAAATCAATAATAAAAGCGTAGAAGCAAGTTAGCAATGACATAAAACATTTGTAAGAGATCATTCAAAGTTGTTTACTACTGAACTTATGGATATAAGAATGTACAATCCAACTTTCTTTCATGAATAGAAGTGTATTTTACCTATTATTGTATACGACAAACCTTTTCGAAATGAACATAATTAGGAAGTGGTACAAACCTGTTTGACTTCACCGTTCCATATGCAATGAACACCCAAAAATCCAATAACAGCAGGTACAATATATAAAAGAGCGGGCTGAAAACAAGGTTTAAAAGAAAAGTAAAAAATGTTAAACAATACTGTTACAACCCCCTTTCATGAAAAGCATAACAAGAAAAGGAAGAAGAATGAAACTACAGATCCAGTTACCTGAGCAGCCTGGAACCAGTTCATCACAACTATTGTGAGGACCAAGCCAAAAGTGTATCCTAAAAATGCACTCTTGAAATATTGGGGTTGCTTTCCTCTAGAAACATCAAAACGCAATGCCAGTGCTACAAAGATACCTAAAGGGAAAATATTTGTAGTCAATAAATATACGTAGCAACCAAATTATCGAATGGATATTATTATTTACCAACCATTTCAATTATATATAAGTGCTTATATTTAAGCCTTTCTACAATCAAGGAGAGAATGAGAACTTCTCAAACTCGTATAAGTTGTTTCTATAAGCTATTATGGAAAGTTTATAAAAGATTCAGCCTACCAGGGATAACAATATCACCAAGTCCAAGCATCGAAAACGGCCTTGCAATATCAGATGTGGGGAACAAAAGCTGGAAAATGATTGAAACAATCAATAATAAGAAGATATAGTAATAGCATATAATTTCAAAGTTCATATCAAGATGAAAGAAACAAATGTCATTTCAATAAACCGAGATCTTAACCTTTATTGGAGCATCAAATGATTTTGCAACGCTAACCATCACTGGTGTGAAGAAAACCCAGAAAATGTCGTAAAAAAAGAGTCCACCCTACAAAACATAAAAATGGAAAGACTCAAAAATCATATGGACAAGCGAATAATGGACAGTGCAGTGCAATAGGAATAAACATTAATCTGATTTACAACCATGAACTAACTATATTTGCAATATAAAACATGGATTGGGAGGGCAAGATAAAATTGTGAACTGATAAAGTGAGAGAGGAACATTATTCAAAAATAAATGTGTATGAAATATGATTAAGCCCATTGAGAAAAACTTGGCTCATTTGCAGCTAAAAGAATATGCTAACAAATATGTAATTAAAATTAAAGCAAAAGGTGTTTAAGCACCATAAACCATAATTAAAGAGAAAAAGTATTTACCAACAGAATAGCACCAGTCTTGAAAGACCCAAGAGAAAGCATTTCAATTCCCTGTAAATGTTAAACATTGAATCATTATGCTCATTTGACTGCTTACAATTTGAATGTGAATTTCATTTTGCAGAAACAATCATAAAAGATCGAGTTGTGCTATTTACTACGAAACTTATAAACACAGCAGGCAAGAATTGCTCTTTTAAAAAGAAATTGAATAAAATATAGGGGATGCAAAATAAGACACAAACATAAAATGTGGGTTCTTAAAAAGATGAAAGCAAAAACATTCATCATTGTGTTTTGGTTTTTTTAGCAATCGAAAGATTTGAAACTAGACCCATCGACTTGGTTTATTCTCCAGTCTGTCTGAGTTTGACCGAGTATAATTGAATTTGACCAAGTTTGATACAGAAATGATTTTATATGAAATGTAATCATTTCCCCTACCTAGAAACTTAAACTAGTCACTAGCGAGTTTGTCAGCCATGACCTCTGTAGGTTTCCCAAGTCCATTCACTTGGGAATATGAAAACTATTACTTTTGCACATTTTATAGCTGAGGTTTTGCACGACATTCAGCAGATGGTATCCAAAAAATACCAACTGCAACTAAAAAAGTATCTTTTAAAAACAGTAAAGTGGAATTTAAACAAGTATAGATAGGTAACAGCTTAAGCGCCTAACCTGAATACAGAAAGCAAGACCCAATGTATTATTTGCCAGCCAATGTTTCTTTAAAGCATACCATCCACAGAAAAAGGTTCCAGGGATTGCAGCAATGATCTGTGACTTTGTAAACTCAATGTCCAAAGCTGTGTAAGAAAGGTGTAATGAAAAATATCATTCTGCATGATAGAAGCAAGTTATCGTCAACTAGATCAAATGCGGAAAAAAAGGTAAAAGCACATGCTTTGAGACATCAAGATGATCGTACCATGATAAAAAAAACATACAAAAGAAAAAACTCATTGACAACAATCCAGCTTTACGCGTTTGGTCAGTAAAGGAAAGAACAGAAACAAAGGAAACTCTTATGGTCATAAAACCACACCTTGCCAACATATCCAGGAAATAGAAATCTAGCACTGTGTGACGCTATTGCAGAACTATCTTTTCTCTCAACCAACTATGGGGCTTATTCAAAATGAAAAACCATATTCCTAAGCTCCTTGAATAAGTAAAATTTTCCCTTGATATAGTCAGAAACTCAACCTAAAAAGATGAGTATATTTCGGATATGACAAAAAAATTTGAATCCTATATTAACTGATATGATCTCTCGTGTCAGATAAGAGTATCAACATTATTAGCTATTAGCAAATTTAGTCAGTAAAGTTAACAAATATCTGATAGGTACTTCATATCAGCAATTTCACACTTGCAGAAATCAACAGAAATACAAGCCACATACTGTCATCATTGACAATCAATAACAAGGAATTATATAACTTATGATACCACAGTTTAGAGAAACATCATTATTCAGTCACAGCAAGAGTCCAGGGAAATAAGGTGGCAAGCACATGACATACATTTAAAATATGGAAAACGCCAGACTATGAGATCCTCATTCCAATGCTTTGGCAAAAACCGTTTGATAGATGGTAGTAATGTTGCCCTGTTCGAAGATAGAGAACAAAGGTGTCAAATAGCAAATAAAATTTATTTAAGAAGTATTGTTTAGTTTCCACATAATAACAAAAGGAAAACAATGGGCCAAAGAAAAGAACATACGACAAGGCAATAATCCCCAGTACAAAGAAGTAGAGTGTCAAGACAGTGTTGACCAAGTCCTTAGATAGAAACTTGAAGAGCAAGAAGAGTGATAACAACATTGCGCTCCCAACAAAGGGAAAACGCATAGCGTGTTCATTAGACATTGTCTCCTGCATTATAGCAACCCACATAAGTCATTTCATGATTCTTGAGAATTGAAAAGAACAAAGGAAATCGGGCATAGAAAAACACTACGTACAGTAGGTGGAGTTGGTTTGACAGAGCGATAGCATCCCACAAACACAGTGATGCAAGCAGTTAAGATAACATTTACATTTGGATCTATTTTCACAACAAGAGGTGCTAAGGTTAAACCTGCAAGAAGAGATAAAACAGTTAATAAACAAAAGATCTAGGAACAAAAAACGCAAACATCAAACACAACACCGACAGTTACACATAACCACGTGCCCATCCAAACAGACATTTAATCAGAAGTTTCATTTCTACATAGGACAGTCACTAGAGAATATAAACAACTACATTGTTCTAAAATGCCACAAAACATAGATATAAAAAAATAAATAAATAAAAAAAACCCACAAAACCAATTTCACTTCAGCAACACTAAGCATATATTAGCACCACAAATAAACACACACACAAATTCACTCCTAATTGCAAATAAAAAAAATGAAGAAAAATAATCAACAATAGAAAATTTACAAAACAAAAGAAACAAACCTGCTAATGCCAAATTGGCAATTCTCTCAGTGTTTTTCATCTTAAACCTGAAAGTAAAAAAACACCAATTTCAAAAACCCAAATTTATCGTCAATTTAACCCAAAAAAAAAAAAAAAACAATATCTGATTATTCATTTGTAAAACCACCTCTTAGCAAAACAAAGGTTGCAGATCGGAGAAGACAATGAAGAAATTGGGATGATTTTTGGGGAATTTAAAGAGTTAGGGTTTAAAGTTTATGCCAAATTCAGATAATTATTTTGGGGATTTTTTATTGTTTGTAATTTAGTAATAGCCCGCGGTTACGAGGAAAAGATGAAGAAGGAAGATTTGGCTTTTAGTAACAGACACACGTGGTTTGAGGTTTTTCAACCAATACTAATCTTGCTTATTGCCACGTGTGATTTTGCAAATATTTTATTCTCATTAATTCTTAGATATCTATATCTATTATAAATAGTTGAATATCGGTATTTTTAGTAGAAATTGATATAAAAGTATTGATATCTAATTAAATTTAAGAATATTGGAGTATTCATCTTTTATCTTAGATGACTTTGAAATAATTTTTAGTCAAGTTCTATTTAAAGAAATATTTTTTGGTCAAATTTATCAAAAATAAAATAAAAAATAATTTTAAAAAAAACTTATAATGTATTTTTCAGGAAAGTTTATGATACTTTTGGTCAAATATTTTGTTTGGACCATTTTGTGCTGTTTAATATTTTTTTTCTTTAAAAAAAATGATAATTAGAATGGTCTAAGAAAAAAATAAGTGTATAAAGAGATTTTAGAGTATTTATTAAAGAGTTTATTTGTCCTCTATATAATATGTAAAAATTTACACAATCAACACATAATAATTATTCATGCATATCACTTTAAATATAATTATGATCAAGAATTTTTTAAAAAAAATAAGGATTATGATTGACTAACAATATTAAAATTTATTTTTTAATAATATATAATAAAATATATTTATTTACTAAAAAATATTTCATTAAATGATAAGATAATGTATATTTATCAAATTATTTATTTATTATCTATCTATAATATTATATTTGTGAGATTAAAAGTAGTACATTTAGAGTGTAATTTTACAATATTATTTAATAGAGATTCATCAATAAGCTATGTCACACAAATAATAAAAATATTAAAATGATTTGACAAAATACATAGTGGTAATCTTCTCTATATTAATTTATTTATCTATATTGTTTATCTAGTTATCTATATTATTAAATTAAACTTTTTTATTATTATATAATATTTATGAGTACAATATTCTCTATTAGATGTTTTGAATGATGTCAAAATCAAGAAATATGTGATATTTTTATATTAGACGATATGTCTTTATGTCTAGGTTGCATTTTCATGTTAGGACATTTAGGGATAATATTAAAAATTATTGTGCAAGTCAAACACTTCAAAAATATGCATTTTGGTAAAATAAATCAGGTTTGGAGTCTACTCTCCTGTGTTAGAAATCGACTACCTCTGAAACTTTTTCAAAAAGGATTTTTCAGTTAAAAATGGGTTTATACATAAAGCTTTTAGAGTCGAGACACAACTGAAGGAGTTGACTCCCTCGAGATGTGGGTCGACTCCTACGGAAAGCGAATTTTAAAATTATTTCCTATCCAAAATGAATCGACTCTCTGGCCATTTGGAGTTGATACATAACACGGAGGAATCGACTCCCAAGTGTATGTATCGACTCCTACTAAAGCTTATTTTCAAAAATGGTGTATGTCCAATTAGAGTCGACTCCCAGGATGTATGGGTCAACTCCCTTGTCCTTAGGAGTCGACTCCCACTTCGAATGGGTCGACTTCTGCTGATCAAATCGTCCAAATTTATCATTTTGCAACCATATTCTCTCTGTTTCATTCATTCACACACTTACACCAATATATAGTCATTCATGCATCATTTCTAAAATACGAAATCACAAATATACAAAGCAATTGCTCATCATCTTCATCCTCTCTCTATGCATAGACAAAACAAATTACACATAACCATTTTTTGTTTGGGTGTCATTTAGAGATAGCTTAATAACGTCCAATTAGGATTCATTGTAATCAATTGAGTTGAGAATTCTTTGGGGTTTCAAATAAGAAAACCAAGGTGGGGTTTTCCTTCAAGATCAATTGGTGATTTAAAGGTTTTGGACAAGATTATGCAATATGAATTCAGTCGATTGAAAGTTTTGAAGAACGGGGGGTTCGTCGAAGGAGTAGTGCGAGACGGAGGGTCAAATTGGTAAATCTTGGGTCACAATACATTCGCAATTTGAATTCATTTGAGTGAAGTCTTTGAAGAACAGGGGTTCTTGAAAAGGAGTACCATGAGACAGAGGATCAAACTGGAAGTATCAGATCCACTTGATCGAGCTCAAGATCAAGGGGAGAGAAGAAGATAGAATCAACAACATACTTAGGGTTTTGTTTGTTGGGTTACTACTTAATCACTTCTATCAACATTTTGCAAAGGCTACTTTTCACTATCTCAATTCTGAACAGAATTGGGGGCAGAGTACCCATAGAGAGGCCGATTGGGGAACTGCCTAAATAAATCATTGTGTCGCTCTCTTTCTCTCTTACTCTATACTTTACATTTTATTGCAAATTGTGAAATTTTCAATTGTGCGATCGATACATCGAGATAATGTCTTAGGTTAATATCATAAATTTTTTGTTGATTTGATTACAATCTTTGTGATTGTAATTAGTTTATAACATCAACAAAATCAAACAAAAACCTGGTTTGTATCGATTATACTCCAAGTGTTCGACAAATTGCCTTAGTTAATTTTTGTCGATTATTTCATTGAAAATTGATTGCTATAGTGTGGTTTATTTAAAGTTGGTTTTCTGGGAATATATTGGTTTTTTTCATCACATGTAAACTCGTTCTATCAGTTTAACGCATATCTGGTCTTTTTGATAACTGTTCGGATAGACGATTGTCGATCCGGGTTTGTTTTCGTGTGCCATAGTTTAAACACTTTTAAAATATAATTTTTAATTGAAAATTTTATTTGTGAGTTATTCAACCCTCTTCAAGATGGTAGTCTATTGTCTAAAATTATCTTGGACCGAGCGCACGACCCATTAGATAAGGCTCAATGGATGGATTATGAGTGGTTTTGAAGACAGCATGACACCTCATATTTTTCCATGAAGATAAAGTTTTTATTAAAAAAATCAATATCCAGTATCCCCAACAATCCTACAGTCAATTGTAACTTATTAACGTATAATTATCAACTATTTATCCTATTTTAAGGAGAATTTGTGTCATTCTCGAAGTACAATACATCTTTTCCATTCAAATTTCATTTCTCACTCTTACTAACTTGAGCGTTGGAGTATCAATTTTTCAAGTCAGTCACCATTCCACTGCATCAGAAACCCATAACCATCACAACTCATCGTGGATCTCACTTTATCGATCTTTACACAGTTCCAAAGTAGAACACTAGTGTCGTTTATGGAAATCGACATTTGATTCATGCAATTTTCCCAATTCATTGATTCTCAATTCAATTGAATCAGATATAGATCTCCATCGATTGAATCACATATCTCAATCTTCAAACTAATTCCTCCAAGTTTGAAACGGAATCTCTTGCATCTAACGCTCTAAACAATGGTAAATTCTGAAGCCACTTGTTATGCAGTTCAACGATAAGTGGACACGGGCGCTGAAGCGGTATTGAATCCTCCTTTTGTAATAGTTTTAAAGATTGCAAACTTAACTTACTAAAAGTTTGGGTGAATGTTAATGAGTTAAACTTGTTAAAAACTCTATTTTAGGTTATTGAGTTAAACCTGTGTAAAAGCTTTGCAAAAAGTTATTAAGTTGAACTTGTGTAAAAGCTTTGGTTTAGGTTTTGAGCAAAGCTCTTGTAAAATTTTTGTTTATTTGTGGAAGGTTATTGGGTTTATCATCTTCAAAAGCTAAATTTGCTTTGTGGTTTGGCTTGATCTAGTGAACAAGCTCAAGTTTGGTTTTAGTGAAAATCTCAATGACTCTTGAGGATTGGAGTAGGTCAAGTGGTTAGGTCAAACCGAGATAATTCTTTGGTGTGATTTTGTATACCCCGTCTCTTTAATTTTCAGTTATTTATCTAATTTAGCTCTTTGTTTCCCTGCTTCATCTCTTCTATTTTACTTTGTTGTTTCATATATGTTTTCTATCTCGAATCATTTTCCATTAAAAGTTTTTATAAACCATTTTTTAGGAAATTCTAATATCACAATTCATCCCATTTGGGCTTGGAGTGGTTTGATTAATATATTTGTGTTATATTTAAGTGAGAGAAAAGATTAAGCGTTCGTTGTTGCTTGAATATGATGGTCGGGAGTTTATATGGGTTTGAATAAACTAATTCTCTTCATTTTAAAATTCAAAATAAGAGTTAATTTATGGATGCTAAATTGATAAAATTGTTTGAAATTTTTTTTTCACAGGTGAGAATCTCGTAGTACGTAATGATACAAAATTTTACAAGACAATAATGATAAGGTAACAATTAGATTATTATTCTACTTTAATTCAAATGGAGACATTTGAATAGGACTAGATCAATTTAATGAATAGTCTAATATTATAAATTTTTTATTAATCAACAAAAAATATAGATTTCAAAATTAGGTCTAATATTAATCTTATCTTAATATATATAAATATAATGTTGTCATGAAAGCAATCTTATCCATGTGTCATCTTCATAGAAACCCTAATAAAACTAGTTGGAATCTGACCCACCTCGTCAGTTAACTTTGATATCTCTTTCTTAAAATTCTTCTAACGAAGGAGAACAACATCCAAAGATTTATGCAGAGATTTTTCTCAAGAGAGATATTTTTGGTCTTGGCCTGAACGCCCTCCAACCTCATGCCACACTTATCCTCGTCCTTCTTGAGAGATTGTAACAATCTCTTGCTTTTACTATAAGCCTTCCTCTATTTTTAGAGCCTTGCCTCTAGTTCCTTAGCATCCTTGTCATACCTTCCATA